AAAGTGAGTGCAACAGAGATGTAAGGATGAGATTTCCATCTCTGATAGACCTGTGCAAATGTGGATTAGCTCCATTGACAGCTCTGGTTTAACTCTGATGAGGTTCTTTCTGAAAGAGTCTGAACTAAATTCACGAGGGTAGTTAAGATCGGGAATAAGCTGCCAAGGGAGATTGTGGAAACCCCACCATGGGAGGCTTTTAAGAAATTGTTGCATAAGCACCCATCAGGGCCGCTCTAGATTTATTTAGTCTTGCCTCGGCACAGGGGGCTAGACTTGATGACTTCTTGGAGTCCCTTCTAGCCTTACAGTTCTAAGATTTGATGATATAAAAGCTTGTGTAAATTGCTAATCTGGGGTCATTCAGGTCTAACCTTGGTGTAAAAGTGCCTTTATGGGCACTGACCTGGCATTCCATACACCATCCGGTGTAAATCTGGTCACATCCCGGCTGAAAAAGGATCTTAGAATTTGGCTGATTACTCTTATTCTTCCCTCTCTGTGCATGGTTGTGTACAGTACATATATGACAGATAAAAGGAGATTATGTGATTAAACAGACAGACAGATAGGACCAATCCTTCTCGGAATACATAAGATCATTTTGCCATAATGATACATTTCTGATTGATTGTTAATATTTTGATAGACATAGAGCTAGATAGAAGGTTATGAAGATGATGCTGAAGATAGATAAATAGATAGATAGATAGTAATGGTGAGAGATAGAGAGATAGATAAATAATCTATGCAACTATTGTGACCTTTTTCCTGTTCAAGGCTGTCTACGTCCAGATCATGAATTTCTTATAAGTATTCATTATGAAACATTATTCACCAAAGCATGTCTATGACTATTTCTTATTCCACAACTCATTTACAATCAGCTCATCATAAGCACTTGGTGTTTGAACTTTGAGCTCTTCCGACTGGATACATTTTTTGTAAGACACTCTGTTTCTTTTCTCTGATTGGATACATTGACGTGTTAGAAAGTTTAAAGTGAAGGGGCCAAACCTCAGCTGGTATGGATTGTCATAGCTCCATTAAAGTCAATACTGCTCTGATAATTCACACCACCAGGGATCCACCCTGAACACACATGAGTATGCCTCAACCCTCTCCCTTCCTCCCCTAAATATTCTGTACCAGTTCTCTGTGCTCTTAGATCTCTGAGCAGTGGCACTCTGCCAGGCCCAGCCCAGTCCCTGGGCCTCTCCACAGAGACCTCCCCTAGGTCTTTCCAACCCATTGGTCCCCCTCACTGTGATGCATCAGGCTCCCTCTTGTGCCTGGTCACTGACGTAGCCCAGCCCCAAGCCCAAGCCCATCACCTGGGAAGAGATGACCAGGCACAGGTGTGGATGAGCCCATCTCCCCTTAAAGGGCCAGCACACCCTGAGGAACGGGGAACTTCAAATGGGACTAAGGTATTTGGGAACCCAACTACTATTGACTTGCAATGGGAGTTCAGCAACTAATTCCCTTAGGCTCTATTGAAAATTTCATCGCAATTGCTTATTCATTTCATCCCATTATCTTTTCTATCTTTGTTGATTAAATATTCACACAGGGGACATGGACTTGGATGAATCAAATTAACAGAAAAAGTAACATTGCTATTCACACAGGGATGATTTTGCTGTATTCACTCAATTCTTCAAATGATACAGGGAAGGAGCTCACTCTAGCTTCTGGCCAAGATAAATAACAAGGTAGCTCATAAGTAGAGCTGGATGCAAAGTTTCTGATGAAATAATTTTGTCCCAAAATACTGATTGATAGAACCTGAAATGATTCACAAAATGCTTCCCAACCATAAGGACTAGAAAATTAGTTTTATTTAAAAAATGAAAGCTGAGATTCTGCTGTAATGTCATGACTCCTGCAGCTAGGGCCCTGCATACTGGCCTGTAGTGCTCAAACCTTAATCCAGCCCCAAATGTTTTTCTACTATCATATTGACATATGCACAATTGCAGTAGCTTATGCTGGGATGTTATGTGAACTCGAATGGCCTGGTGGAAGTTATACCAGCAAAAGCACTAGGACATTCACACTAGGAGAGTTTGCTGCTATAGCTGTATTGGCAAAGTTTTTTCTAATGTAGACCTGGCTATATATTGTTTGGCAGTACATTGTCTCTCTCTCTCATCTAAACAAGTGTAAGCATACACACATGTGCACGTGTGCACACACACACACAGCCAGTCTCCTCCATTTACTGCCATTGGGAAAACTTCTCAAACTTTCTAAGTGATTTAGGAGCTTAAGTCTCATTTTCAAAAGTGACCTAAGCCCTCATGAGTCTAATAGCATCATTTTTAGGGTATTTAGATACTTAGGGTACATCTTCACTACCCGCCATATCGGCGGGTAGCAATCGATTTATCCGGAATCGATATATCGCGTCTCGTTAAGACACGATATATCGATCCCCGAACGCGCTCACCGTCAACTCTGCCAGAGCGAGCGGGGGTAGCGCAGTCGACCGGGGAGCTGCGGCCGTCGATCCCACGCCGTGTGGACCCCAGGTAATTCGATCTAAGATACTTCGACTTCAGCTACGCTATTCGTGTAGCTGAAGTTGTGTATCTTGGATCGATTCCCACCACGCCCCCAGTGTAGACCAGCCCTTAATGGGGTTTTCTAAACAACCTAGGTACTTAACACCCATTGAAATCAAAGGGTGTTAGGTTCCTAGATACCTTTGAAAATCCCATTAGGTGCCTAAATACCTCTAAAAATCTGGCCTGAGTGACTAAAAAACTTTTGAAAATGGGACTTTGGCTTCTAAGTCACTTAGGTGATTTTGAAAATTTTAACTCTCACCTTTTACACAATTTCCCCTCTTAGAAACTCACTGGGGTTCCTTGAAGGAATACAGCTTCCTCTTGAGGGTGTCTCTCAGGGTCTCTTTGACCTTCTAGTTCCTCAGGCTGTAGATGAATGGGTTCAGCAAGGGTGTCACTACTGTGTTCAGGTGCTGGCCACTTTGTTGAGGTCCAAGGAGTGGCTTATCCTGGGTCAAACATGGATGAAGATGGAGCTCTCATAAAAGAGGATCACCATGATAATGTGATTATCATTGATGGGAAAAAAATCCTAAATGTGTGTGCGTATAGTGAAATCAGCATTTACTGTCAAAACTCTAATCATAGAATCATAGAAAAGGAAGGGACCTCAAGAGGTCATCTAGTCCAGTCCCATGTACTCAAGGCAGGACTAAGTATTATCTGGACCATCCCTGACAAGTGTTTGCCAACCTGCTCTTAAAAATCTCCAATGATGGAGATTCCACAACCTCCCTAGGCAACTTATTCCAGTGCTTAGCCACTCTGACAGTTAGGAAGTGTTTCCTAATGTCCAACCTAAACCTCCCTTGCTGCAGTTTAAGCCCATTGCTTCTTCTCCTCTCATCAGAGGTTAAGAAGATCATTTTTTCTCCCTCCTCCTTATAACAACCTTTTACGTACTTGAAAACTGTTATCACGTCCCCTCTCAGTCTTCTCTTCTCCAGACTAAACAAATCCATTTTTTTTCAATCTTCCCTCATAGGTCATGTGTTCTAGATGTTTCATCATCTTTGTTGCTGTTCTCTGGACTTTCTCCAATTTGTCCACATCTTTTCTGAAATTTGGCACCCAGAACTGGACACAGTATTCCAATTGAGGCCTAACCAGTGTGGAGTAGAGTGGAAGAATTATTTCTCGTGTCTTGCTTACTACACTCCTGCTAATACATCCCAGATTTATGTTTGCTTTTTTTGCAACAGCATTACACTGTAGACTCATATTTAGCTTGTGATACACTATGACCCCCAGATCCCTTTCCACAGTACTCCTTCTTAGGCAGTCCTTTCCCATTTTCTATGTGTGCAACTGATTGTTCCTTCCTAAGTGGAGTACTTTGCATTTGTCCTTATTGAATTTTATACTATTTACTTCAGACCATGTCTCCAGTTTGTCAAGATCATTTTGAATTATAATCCTATCCTTCAAAGCAATTGCAACCCCTCCTAGCTTGGTATTGTCTGCAAAGTTTATAAATGTACTTTCTTTGCCATTATCTAAATTATTGATGAAGATATTGAACAGAACCGGACACAGAAATGATCCCTGTGGGACCCCCACTCATTATGCCCTTCCAGCATTACTATGAACCACTGATAATCACTCAGTGGCAGTAAACATCTCAGTTTGAGTGCATGGATGGAAATCTTTATGTGGTCAGTTTTCCAGTTCTGGTTCTTAAATGTAAATACCATAATCTGTAGGCACCAAACTACAGCAAATTGGTTCCAGTGGTTCTGAGCACCGACTCCTCCCTGATCAGTCAGTCAGAGTCACCCTCTTCAGTGGATGAGCCACTACAAAGGGACAATGTTCCTCAATGTGTTCATGGGGTTACAGGTGCTTCACATCTCTGATAGCCAGTCCAAGAATTCTAATCCATGAAATCAGTGGTTCTCAAGCTTTTCCATTCCAATTCCCCTCCCTTCTATTAAGGATCTAACTGGGACCTCCCTCCAATTCAGCAATGTAGGTAGGTAGGTTTACTCATTGTGACTTCCTAGCAGCCCATTGTTGAGAACTCCTGGACTCTGAGAATCTCTGGCTATATGTTCCCCTTAAACTCACATCCTTCCCATCCCAGAATCTCTAGGACCCAAGAGGACTCTATGGACCTTTGGAAGACTGCACCATTTGGGCTGCATGTAGAGGAATGCAGACTGTGACTAGCAAGGACGTCTTTTGGAGAGCAGACCACTCCTCTTCTCTCACAAGCACCTCATGGTTGCAGCTCCCCACTGGTGAAGTTCCTAGGGTCAGCTGAAGCAGGGTTTCCTGTAGCAGAACTGAGTACACAGTGATGAATTTAGAAAACTAAAGAAATTTACAAATCCAATGTCTTTGTGAAGGTGGAGTTAACACTGATTTAATATCAGTAAATTTCTGTTTTTTTTTCTTGGTAGATTTTAAGAACACAAAATGGAAGAGTAGAACCTCACCACCCCACTGACAGAATTTGTCCTCTTGGGGCTCACCCAGAATCCTGAGTTGCAGTGCTTCCTCTTTGTGATTTTCCTCATAGTTTACGTGAACACCTGGCTGGGAAACTTCATCATCTTCACCACCGTGATCACCAACCACAGTTTCCATACCCGCATGTATGTCCTGAACTTGGCTTTCCTGGATGTCAGTGAATCATCAGGAAATGCTCCAAATATGCAGGTCGACTTTCCCAGTGTAAAAGCATCTTGTTCAGTGAGTGCATCCTCCAGATGTTCTTCTACCACTTAATTTGCTTTGTGGGAATGGCAATCGCTCGCTTTGTGGGAATGGCAATCGCTATGTGGCCATCTATAAACCCTGCGGTACTTGAGTATCATGAACCAGGATGTATGCATGGGGATAGTTTCGCTGGCATGGCTGGGTGGATTGGCTCACTCTACTGTTCAGCTTTACTGCTCCTCCAGCTACCGTTCTGTCGTCCAAATTTCCTGGACAATTTCTACTGTGATGTCCCACAGGTCATCAAACTGGCCTGCACTGACACCCACATGGTAGAACTGCAGATGGTCTTCAATGGTGGAGTGCTGCTCATAATAGTATTAATTGTTCTGCTTATTTCCTACACCATCATCTTAGTGAAGATCAGGACACACATCACAGAAGGGAAATGCAAGGCTCTGTCCAAATGAAGAGCCCAGATTTCCATGGTATGTTTACACTTCATACCCAGCATCTTCATCTATGCTGAGTGATTTTTAAGTGTCTAAAAGCCAAAGTCCATTGTGAATCTAGCCCTAAGATCCGTAACTCTTTAAAATCAGCTTCCGTCACACAGATCGACGTGTAGCAAAACCTAATGTGTCTCTTTGTTCCCTTCTGTTGGCTGTACCTCAGATAGTCATTTATGGGGCTGCTCCAGGCCTTTAAGCTAAGGCCTCTGTTCCATTAGTGCAATTACCTTTTAAATGACGAGTTCAATCCTCACAGATGTCCTGCTAGAACTTCTGCAACTTAAGCACTCCACAAGTCTAGGGAATCTCTGAGGTAGTCTCAATGAGGCCATGGGGGGCATCTGCACTGGCTTTCCTACAAGCTCTATGCATAAGTGCTGATAACACATCTGTCCCCATCGTACTTGAGCACCTCACAATCCTTAAAGCAT